CAAGTGCACAGTGCCACAGCGAGTATGACATTTACATAGAGTTTCAAACAGGAAAATCAACACTGTTCATTCACTGACCCTCTCAACACTTACTAAACATCCACAATATACCAGACACTGTACCAGGTACTTGGGACGTATCAATGAGCAAGGCAGACAAGGCTCCTGGTGGGGAACAGAGACCATGAATAATAATATAACAAACAAGAAAAATGCACGGCATGTTAGAGGGCAGTACATGCTATGCAATACATACGTACACACACACACATACATGCTTACATACACAGCCAGGCAATACATGCTATGCAATACATACGTACACACACACACATACATGCATACATACACAGCCAGGCAATACATGCTATGCAATACATATGTACACACACACATATACATGTATACATACACAGACAGGCAATACATGCTATGGAATACATATGTACACACACATGCACATACATGCATACATACACAGCCAGGCAATACATGCTATGGAATACATATGTACACACACACATGCACATACATGCATACATACACAGCCAGGCAATACATGCTATGGAATACATACGTGCATACACACACATACACATACATGCATACATACACAGCCAGGCACTACATGCTATGGAATACTTATGTACACACACACATGCACATACATGCATCCATACACAGCCAGGCAATACATGCTATGGAATACATACGTGCATACACACACATACACATATACATACATACATAGCCAGGCAATACATGCTATGGAATACATATGTACACACACACATGCACATACACATACATGCATACATACACAGCCAGGCACTACATGCTATGGAATACATATGTACACACACACATGCACATACACATACATGCATACATACACAGCCAGGCAATATGTGCTATGGAATACATGCACACACACATATGTACATACACACACTCACACCGCCAGGTAATACATGCTATGGGATACATACATACATGCATATGTACACACACATACATGCATGCACACATACATATAGAGCCAGGCAATACATGCTGTAGAATATATGCATACACGCACACACATGCATGCATACATACACACCCAGGTAATGCAGGCCACAGGAAAGGAAAAAGGGGTAAAGACACAAAGTAGAAAGTATAGTGTACGAGAGGGAGTGAGCTATGGTTCTGAAGTAGTGAAAAGAGATCTCATTGAGCGGTGACGCGGAAACCCACGCTTGGTGTGGAGGTGGTTGCTCTCCCAGACATCTAGGGCAGAGTGTCCAGGGGAAAGGAACCCCATGCAAAGGCCCTGGGGTGGAGCTGTCCAGGCCCAGGGTAGCAGCAAGGAGACCAGGGTGCCAGAGGCTGCAGGGACTAGGTGGAGGACGTCAGGGTGAGCTGCAGGACCGCCGGCCTTTGCTCTAAGTGATGTGGGGATTCTTGAAGGGTCCTATGTAGGAGCACTGGAGAGCGGTTGTAGAGTAGCAGGGTAGAAGCCAAGAAACTGGTTTTAGGATATGATGATGCAGTAGGAGGTGACGGTGGCTTGGACCAGGTTGGGAAAGTGCAGGTGAGGAGACAATCAGGCCAAATTCATACTGTGACAATACGTAAATACTGCATGTAACTTATGTGTCAGTACAAGTCATGTGTGCAGCTACACAGACACCATGAGTCGTGTGTGTAGATGCACGGATGTCATGAGTCCTGTGGGCAGATGCACGGATGTCATGAGTCGTGTATGAAGATGTATGGACGTCATGATCGTGTGTGGGCACATGCATGGATGTCATGAGTCGTATGTGGGCAGATGCATGGATGTCATGAGTTGTGTATGAAGATGCATGATGTCATGAGTCACGTGTGGGCACATGCATGTCATGAGTCGTGTGTGGGCAGATGCACGGCGTCATGAGTCATGTGTGGGCAGATACATGTATGTCATGAGTTGTGTGTGCAGGTGCATGGATGTCATGAGTCCTGTGAAGATGCATGGACATGAGTCATGTGTGGGCAGATGCATAGATGTCATGAGTCTTGTGTGGGCAGATGCATGGATGTCATGATCATGTGTGGGCAAATGCATGGATGCCATGAGTCAAGTTATTCGCCCACTTGGGCGTCCCAAAATGCTGGGATTACCGGTGAGAGCTACTGCCCCTGGCCACAGTCTGTTACATTTGAAAAAATAAATGGACAAATGAAAAAGAAAGGGAGGAATGACAGTGCCTGCTGGGCTCTGCAGGCAGAGTCCCAGTCTGAGCTGCCGGGTGCCCAGCCTCTTCCACCCTGAGAGCAGCCCGGGGATTCTCATGTTCATCTCATCCCCCTGGGCTCAGGGAGCCTTTTTAAAGAGGAGATAAAGTGCCTGCCAGGCGTGGGGAATGCGCAGGGGCTGACGGGAGCACAGCGGACTCAGAACGTCCTTGGGGGCTCCCTGAGCAAGCCCCCTGCCCCCGGCCTCCTCTCTCCAGACCTACACCTTGGAAGCGGTGGGAAGCACAGCCCCACCCCCCACCCACAGTCAGCTGCTGTCCTTCCTTCCTGCCAGCCTGCCTTCTTCCTCTGCTCACTCAGAGATACGGGGGTCCCCAAGACTGGCTCACCCTCCCCTCACCCTCTCTGTGGTACTCAGATCTCTAAACCATTCCTGCAACATCCAGTGAGGTAGGGAACCAACACGCTGGCTCCCCACTGTCCTATCCTGGGCACGGACCAGGCTCGGAGCAGGGCTGGGCGCTGGGCTATGGAAGTACAGGAGTGATCAGTGCCCTGGGGCCCTTATGGAGCTCAGAGGCTGCTGGAGAAAAGACAGGAAGACCGAGCCCCTCCCAGGCAACACCCCCGTGTGAAGCTTAGCACTGAGAGGCCACAGAAGGTCCACAGGGAGGACTCCCAGGAGGAGCGACACAGAGCTAAGAGCGGGAGGGTAGAGAGCCAGGCTGCTTGGGCCCTTCCT